CGTCCGTAAAATACTTTTTTCAGCGAGGCTGTTCAACCCCTGAGCGTTTTCGAGGAGGAGTCACATCAACATAATCAACAACAACAACGTCTTTACTCGTTCTCATGACTGATAATAAAGACTTTTTTTACTCGTTCTCATGACTGATAATAAAGATTTTTTTGTCTATTTTCTCGCTCAACTTCGGAATTGATGGAGGCCGCTGTACAGCACTATTATCAGCATATTTCTATGTTTTCAATCTTGTAGCATGCCTCGATAGATTTATGAGTGTTTTCTATAGCTGAAGCCGTTGAAAATCCATGTAATTATATAAATGCCGAGGTGAAGGGTAACTCACATAAGTCCACGGCTGGATGTCATATTTTAGGACGAAGGCAGCAGGGTCGTAAGCGCAGCACTCATTCAGGAGTGAGGAAAGCAGTGATACTCAGTTGTTCTACAGTCTTATAAAAGAGTCATTCATGGTCCCTGCTGTAAAGAACTTCTGGAGCAGCACCTGAAAGCAGAGCCAAGCTGCAAATCCAGAAGTGGGGAACGGGCGGTGAGAAGAAATAAGGCGGCCGTCCACAAGAAGATCGTGTAACACTAACGCAACACACTTTACGGTCGGACCTTCCTAAACAGTGGGAGCCCCATCTTGCACAGTGAAACCTACCTAGAGTTAGAGCTTCTCAGCACCTTCGCGTGAGAGTCGGATGCGTGGCGCAACACATAGGTGATGCCAGTCGATGTATAATTGGCTGTCTCCCAATAACCCAGCCGAAGAATGTGTTTCAGAAGAAACTCGAGGGCTTGAACGAACTTGAAACGGTATGCGTAGGAGCCACTACAATCTAGGCCGAAATTCGTTTGATATGCAATCAACGGTTGCGCCCCAACCCACATAATTGCAACTGGGAAATCTCTTGATTTCCGCTATGCCCATGCTCTTCCTATAGCGAGAGAGTCCTGATTCCAAGAGTTGCTTTCCTTGATGACTCCAGAACGGGGTACTAGCATGTCATCAAAAACGATTGAACTAAAATATGTGCGAAACCACAGATTACGCTTATCAGGAAAATCGCCAAGGCCAGGGGTCCCATTTGCTTGATTACAATAGAAATCGAGTAAATCCATCGAACTCATGCTCAACTATTAGGTTGTCACATAAGTTCTTATACACGTGTTTGATCCTCTCCTA